GGCAGCGCGGGGCAGCCTGAGAGGAGCAGGGCTGGGACTTCCCAGGGGGATGTTGGCACCATTTCTGCTCCCAGGGAAACCAGCCCACAGCCCTGCCCTCTGCCCACAGCAGGCAGCTGCAGCAAGTGCTCTGGGAACCCGCTTGGAGAGGGCTGTTCTTGATCAGCCCGACACCCAAACCTACGTTATTGTCACGGGTGACAAAGCCCTGTCTCCTCAGCAACTTCAGGACATCCTTGCGATGGTGGTAGTCCCGCAGGTGGGGGTCATGCAGGCAGTTGTAGTCTATGCTGAGGTGGTGGCTGTAGGGATCATCCAGGGAGTAATAAAGACATGGACCTTGAAGCTGTAAGAGAGAATTTCCAGAGTATGAAGGAGTCAGGAGAGAGCAGCAAAGAGGTGCCACACGGTACTTGTGAAAAGGTAAAGGTACTTTGAAGACCAACACTTTTCTCCATTCTTCTGAAGGCACAGAGACCCACAGAGCCAAACTGCGGGGCCAGGTTGAGCTGTGATGGGCTGGGGGAGAGAAGACAAACCCCACCAGCAAATTGGCATCTTGCACCACCAGGAAGAAATGCAGACCCATCCACAAATGAACCTTCCAAGTGAAAAGGTCAAGCCCAGCATTCAAATGCAGCCAATGGAGAATGCAGGAAAGAGTCTCCTTGGCTTAGGCAGGCCCAAGGGCTGTGCCGACTGACACTGCCACTGGGAAGTCTCTGCCTTGGGAATGAGCAGCACAGGCTGCAGAAGGAGGGGGACAGTGTGTGCATTCCCCAAGAAGGGAAGGCAAAGCTGCTCCAAAGACACCAATAAGGCAAGCAGGAGAAGGCTGGAGTCCCCCTCAGAGGTGCCCCAGAGCCCGGCTCGACATTGCTGGGTGAGCGGGAGGGCCCATTGCCCCAGCACCCCAACACAAAGTCACCTGCTGCAGGTGTGGGCCCTGCCACACACGTGCACCGAGCCAGAAACCAGTGCGGAGAACTGACAAGTCCTTTTTCTCTGCATTCCAGGGAGCTTGAGCTTCCCTCCACTGCCCAGCCCTGTCCGACTGAAGGGCTGCAGCTCCTGCTGCAGAGCAGATGGCCACAGGAACTCCTCTACCTGATGGGGACCCCACCAAAGAGGAGAGCTGATCTACCCCTTTCTACTTGCTTTACCTTTTCCCCCAGCTTTCCCCTGCAGAAGACAGGCTTGGATCTGGGTTTCACATGGATCCTGAACCCAATTGGGAAGTCCAGCAGGTCAAAATCCATCACCTCAGTAGCTCAGCCTCACAGGTGCAGTGCTCTGGGGCCAAGGTGGGAACACACGGACACCCAGGCGTCACCCAGGCGTCACCTCCTGCACAGCAGTGCTCTACAGCCCCTTCCAAGAGTTCTCTTGGTGCTGCAATCCCGCACTGTCTCCTTGAGCTCCAGAGGCACAATAGCTGGTGTGTCCCAGTGAGTGGCTGAATACACCCATGGGGCATTGTGACATCATGGTGATGCCGCATCACTGCATTGTCACACCATTGCGTTGACATCCTGTCATTCACTGTCTGACCTTTGCAATGCCAGACCAGAAATCCCCTCTCCAGGATCAAAGGAGCTGATTTCAGTCCTTTTAGGTCTGGGAGATCCCTGATTGCCCTCTTGTGTCTCTGTAGTAACTACACTCACAGCTTTCTTGGGTGACCCCCTTCTTACCAGCTCTCTTCTCTCTCAATTCACGTACCCAGGCTTCCAGCTTAGAGGTGGGTTCACCATCCCACTTCTTCATGTCTTCCTCCAGTCAGGCAGAAAGAACCAGAGTTCACCACGTGCCCTGAGCTTGGGACTTCCTTTCCCTCTGGCTGGGGCAGGAGGGAACAGTTCTCTTGGGTTGCCCTTTAGGGCTGAGGTGGGGATGTGGAAGTGTGTGTGGGGACAAGGAAGTGCCCAGAGTTTCTTCTACATTTCAGAGTCAGGAGGACATCACCTCTACAGGTGGTGGATCCATTCTCAGGTAATACAATTCTTCCAGGCTGTTGGAATATGATGCAGGGTTGCTTTGAACCACCTTCCTCCACATGGCCATCGTGCAAGGAACTTTAGGGCTGGATCTTTAGGGCTGTTATCCCTTCATAGATTACTATAAATGATTTCCAGCACCGCCAATTCTCTCAAGTACTGGATACCTTCATCTGCAGTGCTCCACTTTCCCAAGGAGTTCATAAGATCTTCCTTGAATGGATGCCTTGCCCTCACGCTTGAGAGAAGCCATCTCCAGAGCCTGCAAATTGCTCTGTCTTTTCCAATTCCTCTTTCAATTTCCCAGTCTCTAGCAAGGGGTCCCAGCTGTTGGGCTTCATGACCTTCCTGACTATCAGCCCCACTATCCCAGCATTGAAGCAGCCAGGTAGGAATCCACTCACTGGGCTGGCGGCTGGAATCTTTCCGCAAGTCCCAATGCTCTGATGAGGTCAGGGACTGGGTAACTTCAGTTTCCTGTTGGACTGGTCTCATTCCTTTCAATTTCTTTGTTGAAGGACTGGCCCCCTCCCCTCCTGATTCTCCCTTTTCTTCCCATACTAATTGATTTCATGAACCTGCAGCTTGCCTTATCCATTTCTTCCTGTTCACTGACTGTAGTTGTTGTGGTTGAGTCCCTGTCTCAGCCATAGCGTCCACCAGGGCAGTTTGGGTCCCTGCCTTCACTACAGTCCTCTGAGAGTACTGAACTGTGGCTCGATGGGCGCAGGCCAGGCCCCAGTACAGGGCAAGAAGCTGCTGGTTTTCACTGGGATAGGCAAGGCACCTTCCATCAGGTGACACACCAGTCTGCCAGGGTCAAATACCTGTTCAGGTGTGAAGTCCCAGGTAATGGGAGGAGTCAAACGCCCTGGGAACCTGCCCAAATCCTTCCACACGTCCTGCCACCTCAGGGCACATCCCAATATATCATCAGCTAAAGTTTGTTCTCTCCTACACCAGGACACACCAGATTCCACAAACTCCACAGTGTGCTGACAGTATTAGTTAGTAACAATAGCAGCACCAGACAGCTCCCATAAGGATTAGCAAGGACCATGGGAGACTTCATTATAAAGCCATATCAATGCCAGGGAGGGGGGAAGGAGTATTCCTCCATTGTCCCCAGAAGATGCTCCCCCAGCATGACAAGGCAGTCAGTGTGAGGGCAAAGCATGGAGCTCTTGTTTATTATGGTATGTTCCCAAACCTCAGCAAAATAAAGTGATGAGCAAACAGCCAGCAAACTCCGTGTCCCATCCAAGAGCTTTGCTATTCCATAGCTACTGTCTCGCTTTTGTCTTGCCTCACGTTGGGCACCAAAAAGGACTGTGTTGGGTTGACCTTGGCTGGACACCAGGTGCCCACCCAGACGGTCTATCACTGCCCTTCCCAGAAGGACAGGGGAGAGAGAATAAGATGGAAAACAACCCGTAGGTTGAGATAAGTCACTTTACTAAAGCAAAAGCAAAAGTTTGCATGCACAATCGAAGCAGAAAATAACAAAGTTTATTCTCTACCTCCCATCAGTGAGTGATGTCTGACCACTTCCCAGAAAGCAGGATTCCAGCACATGGAGCGGCTGCTCAGCAGGCAAACATTGTAAACAATGTCCTCCCCTTCCTCCTCCTTTCCTCAGCTTTTATATCTGAGCTGATGCCCCATGGTCTGGAATATCCCCTTGGTCAGTTTGGGTCAGCTGGCCTGGCTGTGTCCCCTCCCAGAAGGAATGTTGCAGTGCTGGTGCTGTGCCAGCCCTGCTCAGCAGTGGCCAAAATACCGGTGTGTTATCAACACCTTTCTAGCTACCAATGCAAAGCACAGCTCTGTGAGGGCTGCTATGGGGAAATGGTCCAGCTCAGCCAGACCCAATACAGGAATAAACTCTTTATTGGCTAAACAAGGGTGTGGGTCTGTGTTTGCTGTCCAGGGGCTCTTCACCTCTCCTGCCACACACCTCACTCTCCTCAGACGGGCTTTGGGCGCACAGCTCTGCGTCGTGCTCCGGCCCGAGCAGGGGGCTTCGGCCCCGCCGGAGGGACGGGCTGGTGGGAAATCCGTCGGCCCACAGAGGGGAGGGTGTCCTCAGCAGCACCGCTCTCCTTCCCACCTTGGGATGCCGTGGTGCCTTTGAAATCCTCTTCGGGGGTCGGTGCAGGCCCACATTGACAAATCCGCTGTATTGCAGACTGAATGATCTGTTTTGCCATGGTCCTTATATCCAAAGTGTTGCCTGATGTTGTTGCATCCTCTTCATTCTCCAAGCTCTCCTTCACCGTTGCAAGAACCTCAGGCTCCAAGGTTTTGGCATAGCCAGTCCTTTCTGCACGGTGCTTTGGTTGCAAGGGGGGCAACTTTGTTCCCTTGCTTGCTTCCAGCCTCTGCCGTTCAGATGCTCTGGGGAATCCTCGTCTTGCTTCCCTGCCCTGCTTTGAAGAAAGTGTCTGGGATGGCTCTGGCTGAATGTTGGAGGCCTGTGCTTTGGGAAGCTCCAGGATTTCAGTGTGTTCACCGCCAGAGTCTCGTCCAAACTGAGAAGCTACCATGGATTTCAAGAGGTTGCGAACGTTTTTAACAACAAGTCTGGTGAGTTTGTCAAGGCAAGCCTCTAAACATGCTCTGTGTGAAGTGGCTGTTTCAGTTTCCTCGGATTTGTCTGCTTGGGTGGCTCCTCCATCAACAGGCTGCTCCTCCAGACTGGCTGCTGCTCCTTGATCAGAAGCTTGGGATTCCAGATGGTCCCCCAACATCTCCAACACAGTTGCTACAAGCTCTTGGGCCACCGTTTCCATCTCCTGACAGTGATCTTGAGGTGTCTCCGAAGGCTGTGCTCTCATGCCGGAAGATGTTCCTCTGATCCCCTGGGCAGCGTTCTTTAAAAAGTCAACACGCTTATCCTGAGGAACCTTCAGCTTCCCAAAAACTCTGAGCACAACAGTCTCAACCAGCTCTTTGAGCTTCTGAGCTTCTGCTGCAGTTAGTTGTTCAGACACAGCTTTGACCTGTCCGTCAGCAGCAATGTCTGGCTTCCCCTGGGAGTCAGCACCAGTGCTGACACTCCCAGGCAGTGTGGCGTCTTCCTGGCCCAGATCAGCTGTGGAGTGGGTTTGGTCCTCATCCAAAGCTGCTTTCACTATTTTGGATTGTTGCAATTTCCGTGTGGTTTCTCTTCTCTTGGGTGGAGGTGGGCAATAAGGTTTGTGAGTCTGCATCCACCGCTTTCCCGGGCGGGAAGCGTTGGTGGCTCCCGGCAGCTGGGTGCCGTGCTTTAATTTGGCCGGGGGTGGCTGAATACATTCCTGAAAGGTGACACCAGGTTGTGCCGCTGTTGCCTGGACAAGTGTTGAGGTTTCCCACAGGTCCAGGACAGGACTCTGCTTCAGCCAGGCAACAAGGGCAGGAGAGAAGGGCTTCCCTCAGGACTCCATGTGCTTGCACATGGCCCT